GTTGGATAGAAAAGATTGTTCGTGTAGTCCAATCACGGATATGCTCTATGTGGCCTGTAACTCGTTCACTTTCTTTAAATCACTTTCCATATAACACCTAGCCGGATGTCTGGAATTTCTGTGAGTGAATTTGCTGTGTGCAGTTTCTTTTTTATGCTTGATACTCAGAATCTCCGCGGGCTTACTTGACATCCCAGAATCCCATTGCCTCTAGTTAGCCGTCTTCTGAGATGCACTCTGATAGAACACTGTGGAGCCTGATGTTCGCTAGGTAGTCGTGTCAAATGTTTTTCCCCACCGTTCTGGTGATGTGTCGTGTCCGAGCGCTCATTCGAATTTCTTGGACAGGTTAAATCAGCCTCCCGAATGATGAAGTTTCGTAGTTTCGTAGTACAGGAAATGTCCGCATTCCGGTTCAAGTATTTTTTCCACCGTGTATCTTTAACCGTTGTATAACCGAGTACCAGTGCCTATTGCATCTAACCACCCACAGCTGTCCCGTTTGTATTGTTTGTTGTTTTGCTCACTCAGTGCCACGTGGTTTCAGTGTTTCACTCCCACGATGCGGTCACAATGGAGTATCTTTATTGGTTGTTCTATTTCACATACGTCTGAGGCCAGACTGTGTGCCAAACAAATCACGGTACAACAATCTTTATGACAAATAAAAAAGTTCCATGATTTTTTCGAGGGCGCAATACTCCCAGGTTGTCCAGGCCAAGACAGAGAGTTCACAATCGGAGCCTTTGGCTAGCCAATACCTCGTCCACAAGGCAACCCATTGGCAGCCCGTGTCCAGTTCATCGGACCATACACCATTTGGACGGAATAAAACGTCCAAGGTGCCCAATACACCTCTGTGCCTAATCGAACCGGTAACCACTACCACTGTTATAATTCCACAACGCGGTGCTCGGTCGAAGATAGTTGTTTATTACAAACTACAGTTAGGGTTTCACTAATTTAGCAAACATATAACAGAAATATCATTGGAAACATATCATCGCAGTTCCCGGCAGCACACCGGGTAATGAATGGAGCAGTCGGTAGTTATTCTTTAAGATAGCAATTTGCCCTCGGTAGTCTTGTTAATTTTTGATCGTTGAAGGAAACCACCGACCACACTATTTTGCATACTACTCGCAAATGTGAGTAGTACCTCACACCATCACGACCAGAAAGATGTGGACGTGTTTTTCGTACCCCTCTTCGTGGATGGTTTTGGAATCAGAGTTTGTAGCCAACTCCCCTAGGTGAACTGCTAATGGTTCATTGACCCGTATGTCGGTTTTTTGTCCTCTCAATTTCTTGGGAAAATGCCTTCGCCCCACGAAGGCAGTGGGTAGAGCTTACTCAGCAGAGGCTATTTGAGACACTCGGTCACATGGGAGCAATTTTTGAGTTACAAGGGAAGGATGATCAACCACAACCCGATACACCCACCCCCAACCATACTGAGGCTTTCGATCGCTTTTGATTGTTGGTCTAATCGGAATTATTGCGATTCTGAGTGGGACCTTCCAAACCATCTACTCCTGTGAAATTGGTTGCTATGCCTTCTCTTTTGAAAGAAACCTGTCTTACCCCTCATTCCATGGCTTCGGTGAACCTATGTTTCCGGTCCTTTGTTCACTTCCGTTTTTGTCTCTACATCACGCCTGCCTAAGAACGAATCCTGTCAAAGATAGATAACCATGCGCGAAATTGTTTGTGATCCAAACTCACACTGATCATGCACTTGACCTGCCCTTCCGTTCGTGCAGTTCCATCTCATCAACCGCGACCGAATTTGTTCCATCCGTACGAATCATTCATTCCCAGTCAAACGGTCAAAACAAACGGGCATCGGGACCTGGAGAACGGGTCGACCGTGATCTCAAACGATCCGGCGGGCATCCTGTTCGGTTGCCTGTTCTTTCAGCCCACACACCAGTGTCTGAATGGGCTTCAACTCCCAGCCGCACCGTTTCTCTTCGGTCATCTGTTCTATCGAACCGAGGCGTACTGGGCCAAATATCTTCCCTTGCGATTGTTACTTCGTCTGGGTAAATCTATGCGACACTATCCTACTCCGTTGTTGTGCGACTTAGATCGCGAGCCGGTGTTTGATTGTGATCGTGGAGCCGGTGTACTGCCCTGGTTGCCCACTCTGACTGGGTCAAGATGCACGCCGCTGGGATTTTTGGATCCGGCGGATATGACTTCCGCATCCGCCAAACCGACCCTATTGCAACGCATTTCCGGTCTGCGAATTCGTCTCGTCTCGTTACCCCGATCCAATACCCAAATGCCCGGTGCCAAATTGGAACTATATGTAAGTCTCATTCATGATATCATCGTTGTACATCTTGTTAAAATCACTGGTTGCTGTTTCTCCCATTCGTATCGAAATGCTCCGGGTGCACTTAATTGACTCAATCGACTTTACGAAGCAGCAATTATGGGCTTCATTCCACTAGTCTAGCGTTGTCGGCTGGGTCCCGGGTTCGACTTCTAGTAGCGTCAATTAAATCCCGCAGATGATAGAAGCCGCCTCCAACGGAAACCCCGTACTTTATCACACCGATGAGCTCAAATCAACCACCAGCTACTGTTGTTTTGAAGAACCTTTGAAGACTGTTATTCCTACTGATCCATACTGATCCTACGATCCCTTTGTACTAATAACTGAAGTCCAGTTCGAGCTTACGGCACAGTTTTGCCCGAGTTCACCACGGAAAGTGATGTTCGTCAGGGTTGCCCTCTCTCTCGCTCCTTTTCCATGTAACTTTGTTATGGATTTGATTATGGAAACAGCACTATCATCCTGCGAGTATAACGGCATAGATTTACTTTCAGCTGACAGATTGTCTGATCGGGGATATGCAGACGACATTGTACTAATCAGTGAAGTTGCAAGCTTTTCTGGATAACTTGAATGCCAGTGTAGCCATGCTCGGTGTGCGTTTTGCACCTTCAAAGTGTAAAATGTTGCTACAAGACTGGGTTGGTCCAGCACCCAGACTCACTCTAACTTGGGAAGTAATATAGTAAGTGGATAAGTTTTGTTATTTATCCAGCTATATCTCACCCGATGGATGCATCACGGATAAAGTGTCAGCACGCATACCAGAGGCTCGGTTGGCATTTGCTAACTTGAGACATCTGTGGCGCCGTCGCGATATCCGATTGTCTGTGAAGGATCAAGTGTGCGCTGCGGCAGTTCGACCAGTTCTGCTATACGGCGCTGAAACTTGGCCATTAAGAAAACAAGATAAAAAATAACCTATCG